GAATATGAAAATCTAACCTTAATTTAGAAATTACCGGCAATACAAAATCCGGCCACCTAATTGTTAACCTTAGCCTCTAGTAGATCTACACGTCGCCTACTACGTGTGTCTTGGTTATATCGCGTTGTCCGATATATTCATATGTTAGTTTAATAAAGGCATTAGCATAAATTTGTGATTTTAAAAAATGTTGATAGATTGATAGATTCCATCGATCTATCTAATTGGGAAGCAATGTTGTATTTGATTGTCCCGAGCTTTTTTGCCTTGTCCTGTCTCAACTTTATTTATGAAGATATAACCTTAACCGTTGGCAATATAATTAATATCCCAAACCCAGCTATCCCGTACAATATTGTATAGAAGAGTGTGTAGTCAAACGAGTTGATATTATCAAGTATGAACTATCTTACTACCCTCAAACCAATTACATATCTTAATTTAATAATTAACGTTATGGGTGGATACTGAATATTCATAGATTCAGAGTCAATTTAAATCTTAGGTGGTAGCATAAAAAGTAATTACCGGTATATCTTTTAAACTATTTAAAGCAATCATATTTTATTCCTCAACCTAAAATATCGATATTTAAAGACATACTTTTAGTGATTTGGTCAATAAATATCTTGGAAGAAGGTCTTAACCGACAGATCTAATTATCGATACGATATATCGTTTACGATATGAAAGCAGAACTCAAGTATAGACGAACCTATATTAATAGAAATCAAAAACTTGATTTTTGTTAAATAAAATTATTTATATACATAAACCAAAAAGCAAAACCTACCGCTAACTGATAAAATTCAATTGCAAAGAGTGAAGAGACAAAGTAATTCTTACAAGTGTAGATGCTCTAGTTATTATATGCATGTGAGTGTCATCCACACTCAAAATTAATAATTGTATATGCATTTAAAAAAAACATTAAGTAAAAAGGATAATAATGTTTTTTAGGCCATACAAACTTAATAAATTGATTCTCATAACCTAGCCGGGTTTGCTGGATCATTTATTTACTAAAAAATCAACTTTGTATGACTTATTATTTAATTTTTGTTTGCTTGTTCATTTTTAAATAAGTGGATTTAGAATCAACTGAATTTGATTCAACTCTATTGATACAGTATTCCTGTATCATTAATATTCCTGCGATTTACATAAGAAAAAACAACTTTTATTGGAAAATTTCTATTTTCTTGTCGAAAAATCAATGTTCAACTTCCACTAATTTTCTTAATCTGACAAGGTTCTTTCAACTGCATTAAGCCATTTTGTAAGCGAGATTTATAAATTTTTTTTCGGGGATATTATCTCCTTGGTTGATGGAATTTTATTATCAGAACACTTACTACCGTATATTGAGGTTGTTCTGACTAACGAACCATTCATGATTCCCTTTATGATTTAGAACACTTTCTATCATCAGCAAATCTGCCAAAGCAATCAGTAACTCATGTTATTACAAACTTTATATAATAAAATAATATATACTATACATATTTCTTATTAATTTGCAATATTGTAAATTTATCTCGTGATTTATTTTGTAATATATACTGTACAATACTAAGTAATATGCAAAATAAATATTAAGCTTATTAAGATCAAATATCTAGTAGAATTACAAGATTTAAAAATTACACTAAATGTCTCAATTTCTTTTTTAGTTAACTTCAGAATTTAAAACTTATCGTCATAGACTTATAGCTAGCTTAACTAGTAATAGCAAGCAGATAAAACAGTAAAATATTTAGGTTCGACTATGATTTTTTAAAAAGTAAGAGATTGATTTTATCAGCCAATCAGACGAAACTCTGCCAGTTAGTGCAGCCAATCAAAAGGCTGCTAAAGACGATTATTTAATTTCCATCCATAAAAAATTCAGACAAAATTTAGTAGATCAAGTAGATCAAGATGATGTTAAAAGAACGTATTGTATCTTTACCTTATCAAAGAAAGTCGCTTGAAGCGCTCTTTGGGAGAAAGAGGATGGGCTGGGTAAACGTACCTGAATGGTTGAATGAAGCAATCATTAAAATAATTCAAGGTTATTATTAATTTATTTGATAAACCGCAAATTCTATCTGAATAATTTATGCTCGATTATGTAGGTCAAGATAAGGAAATAATTAGATTTGATGCTGGACGGATATACAAGTCATTTCGATCAGTCACTGGATACAAGGTGAATACAGCAACAGGTGTGAACATTAAACCAAGTAAATATCAATCCACTTTCAATTCATTGATTTTATATTTATAAATAAAGATCCAATTTTTGGTCCTTGCAAAAGTGCGCAAAGAACTTTTAAACGTACTTTAAAGGAGGAACCTGATAATAAGCCACATATTCTTGAATACGGCAATCGTGAATCTCTTGCCTATGTTGCGGGCTATTTACCAATTACCTATGGCCCAATATACAATGTTCTTTATGAATTAAGCACACGATTACCGGATTTTTTCTCCAAAAAATGTAATGGATTTTGGCACTGGTCCTGGCACTGCAATATGGTATGCACTTAATTTTTTTTTATATTAGTCAAAATAATTCTAGCGTTAATTGTATTTTGTTAGGGCAGCGCATGAAGTATGGGGCAACAATATAGAAAACTTTTTAGGAATCGATATATCCGAGGCTATGCTGAGGATGGCAGAAAATATATTATCTTGTGATGATTCTTTAGGATTTATACTGTTCAAATTCATTAAATTTTTTTATAAAAAATTGATTGATTTTTTTTTTTAAACCAGATCACAACAAAATACGAAATATCGATTTTAAAAAATATATCACATACGATCCAAAAGTAAATATTATTAACGTATTAGTGCAAATTACCTTTAATATAAGAAATCTTTCATAATAAAGGCCAGCATTCCATTATAAGAGAATTTAAAATCTTTACCCGCAACTAATTAAGACGTTTAACTTGTAGACAAGATATGATCTTGTTATTTCTGCATTTACGTTTAATGAGCTCCCAAATGATAATATCAGACAATCCATCTTGGAATCTTTGTGGAATAAAACGGAGGATATACTGGTAATTGTTGTTGATGATTGCAAACCATTTTTCCTTACTTCATGTCGTTATTCAAGGTTTTCTTTTCTTCAGGTGTTGATTGAAAAAGGCACACCAGCTGGATTTAAAATAATTGCTGAAGCACGTAAAAAAATTTTACTTAGTTCAACTAAATTGCATGTGGAAGTCAACCCGCAAGCGGATACACGAGGAGCTCATGTTGTAGCACCGGTTAGTCATTAAAACGCGTAATATAAACTACACCCATGCATTTCATCATTAAACTACTATTATTGTCTAGTGCCCACACGATGGTGAGTGTCCCTTGATCGATTCAAGGAACTGGTGTCACTTCTCGCAACGTATAAATAGGCCATCATATCTAGTCAGTATATAATTAAACCGTATTTTTCTTTGAAATAACTAAAAACTCATTTGTTTTTTTTTATTTCTAAGATGCAAACAAAAAAGGTGTTAGGGAACAACTATGAAGATTCAAAGTATTCTTATGTAATCCTGAGAAGGGGGCCGCGTCCTAGGATGCCAACAGAAACATCTGAAAAATTGGAAAAATTGACTCATGAGAATGCAATAGATACAGAGCTCGCTAGAGGTTTGTATATTTATGCAACTTATATTTAAGTTATTAAGCATTAATACTCATTATTGTTTTTATTATCATTTAAAGATTTCTCAACAGAGGCCTTTTATTGGGCTCGCTTAATTTTGCCGCCTATTAAACGAAGTGGTCATATTGTTATGGATTATTGCTCTAATACAGGTAAACGAAAAGCCGTTTTTTTAAAAATTATTATTTATACATTCTATCCTTTTTACCTAACCTTTTTTAATCCTCTCATATAAAGGTCATATTGAAAGGATGATAATTCCAAAATCACAAGGTAAAGTTCCTTATCGTGATGCTCGCAAAGCAATGTGGGGTGATTTGTTCCCTCATCAACCAAAAAAACCTGCTGAGCGCAGAAACATCGGAATTGACAAAAAAAATGATAAAGAGGAAATTTATATTATGGATGAAATAGAAGATGATGCTGATCAAGAAAATTCGCCTAGAAAAAGAAACGTCCCACGAAAAAAAAGCGAATTGTAACTATATTATTCTTTAGTCGACAAATTTAACTCATGCATATATATAACTTCATCGCAGCATATTCTATTGATGAACTTTAAAATTGCCAATATCAATGTTTATGATGAAAATAAAGCCAATTTCTTTTTATCCTTTTTATCTGCTATCTCTCTTTAAGTTTTAAAAATGCATGGTTTTAATTTCAAGTTGCATGTTGAAATTATTGATAGAAATAAAGGCAATAAGACTATTTAATCTAGCTTCTAGTCTTAAGTGCAAAAATAGTTAATAAATATAGTCTAATACAAAGAGATCTGTACCTCAAATAGATATTAATAATTTTTTTTTTTTTTTTTTTTTTTTTTTTTTTTTTTTAATATTTAAGGTGAGACCTTGCTCTTATTAATAATTTTATTTTTTTACAATATAATTTTTAATATCTTTATTATTAAATCTGTATAGTAATAGAATTAATAAAAATATATTTATTTATTAATAAAATAAAATTTTATTGATAGTAAATTTTAAAAAATTTATTATAAAATTTACTATATAGATTTAATAATAATTTTATATATTTTATGTAGTAAAAAATATAATTGTTTAAAAGACTAATTTTTTGTTTAATTTTAATTATATATTTGTTAAGATTCAATTTTCTTTTCTAACCTAATTATAGCTTGTTGCAGCCTACACACTTGTGTTAAAGTAGGCAAAATATGCTTAAATTAGTTATAAATAAAGAATTAAAGGTATAATATCGCATATTGGTGTAGTTATCTTGTTTATTCTGTATTTATATTATTGTAATATATTATACTTTGTAATAACTTTTTTTTTAAATAAATAAATTATATATTGATTATACTATATAAAGTATACTGTATATTAATACATTTGCGTAGTATAAACTTGTAAAAAAATTGTATATATAGTATCTTTTTAAAACTAATTAAAATATTACAGTATATTTTTAAAAAGTTATACTGTATATTATTAAAAAAAATTTAAACAGTGTATTTATATATATTATATTTTATAAATATAATATTAAAATAATTTAAATTAGTAGTAATTTACTGTATATTGTTTTTAAATTGTAAATAAATTTGGTTATACTTTTTAAACTCTAATTTATTTTTTTTAAAATACTTAAATACTTAAATAAAGCTTTATATAATTACTGTATATTTAAAAATAAAGATTATTTTTTGTAATACAGTATTTATTTGTATATATATTATATATCAAAAAGTTTAAATTGTTTATAATTTAAAAACATATAATTTTTAAAAAAAATTTTAATAATTTACAATTTTCTGATAAGCTTTTTAAATATTAATTTAATTTTTATTACTTTAAAATTTTAATAATTTTAAAAGAATTTTAATTAAATTAGTATAAAATTAACTATAGAAACTTTGAATCTCTTAATACGCAGTAGCTATATAGTAACTATATATATAGTAATTGTGTAATATTTATTATAAACGCATCTATGGTGGTTTTGCACCTATCATATGTTTTATTATATTTTTTAGATTTTTTTAATAAAAATTTTTAACACAAAATTTTCATGTTAATGTTAGTTTTGAAGTTAGGGTTAGGGTTTGAGAAGGGGTTTAGAGCATTTTTACTTAGGACATCTTGCATTGATTAATTAGCTGGTTTTTTGAGATAATATATACATAGGTGTAAAACACCATAGATGCGTTTTAGTAAAAGTTATTGTGTAATTACTACATCTTTACTACATATACAGTTACAACATATTAAGATATTTAAGTTTCTGTAAAGAATAAAAAAACTTTTAATTTTATATATGGTATATACTGTAGTATACAAAGTATTGATTTGTTAAAACAAATTATATAAAAAAAATTAAATACTAATTAAAATTAATATAAAGATAAATTTAAAATAAAAAATTATACCAAAATTTTTTAAAAAAAAGTATTATATTTTATTTTATAGTATAATTCTGCTTTTATTAAATAATAAATTATTAATTAAATAAAATTTAAAAATATTTTTTAAATACTTATTAATTTTAAAATACAAATTTTTTTTAACTCTTTAACGGTTTTGTCAAAGCTCGAATACAAAAACTTTATTTATTTAATCAACAATAGTAAACTATTCCAACTAAACTAAGCCTTAAAAATTGCAAGCTAGACATCTCCCAGCTGCAGAAACCATGCTCATGAGCGACTTGTCACACCATCTTGTATACAAGTTGAATAGACCTTGTCAGCCCATTGAGAGCTAATCCCTTCAATTCTTTTTTCTTTACCGAGAGCAAAAGAAAGTAGTGATTTTATACCATTGCTACAAAACTACCAATCATGAAACAAAAAGAAAACTATATCTAATAACAAAACAAATTAAACAAAAGAGAAATTTTAAAAGAGAAAAAAAAAAGGGGGAAAAGGACATGTAAAAAAAAAACAAAGAAAAAAGCCAAGAAGGCTAACAAAGTGGATGCTACCTTTATCAAGAAGCAGCCAAGCAACCTGAAAGTTGCTACAAATAAGAAAAATGCACTGTTATAACCCGTGCCAAGTTACAATAAAAATTTTATAACAACTACAACCATTGTATATCTCAATTATAAAAACAAAACCATAATATATACCCTCTGACTAACAGCCAAATCCCGATATCTCTTTAACCTAAGACCTTGATCCAAGTCACGTGGAGTAGCACTGTATCTTCTAAGTAAACAAGACACATCGGTTGTAATCATACTGAGTCTATCCGAATTTGGATGTAAACAATGCCGATCTTTTGAAGGGATAAGCCAAATCTCCACTTTTTGTCAAAATTTTTTGGAAGAATGGTAGGAAGTCAAAAATAAGTAGTAGAGAAGTCACTTGAGACAAAAAAGAGTGCAGCTTTAGAGCAACAGATAATTTGTTGTTTCCCCAGTGTTCTTCTTCGAAGTAATGACCTAAAAGCTTTGTTGATAACATCAGTCCATTTCTGAACCACCTGCCACCAAGATTTTTTATACAAGGGTGCCCTGCCAGTTATCTTGTATAATAACGCTCTTGGCTTGCATGCCAACCGTCTCTTGTAGAGGAGTTCCCTGTAGTAGTAGGTTGACCTCTAGACAAACCGCCAGTAGACCATGACTCTCCAACAAATTTTTCTGTTTTTCATTAGTAGGAATTTCGGTCCAAGTGATCGTCAGAAAGAGTTTTTTTTTAAAACTTTTAAAATACAAATTATTATAGATAAAATTAATTAACTACTACTATATACAGTATATAGAGTTGAATACAAGGTTGTAAAAACTATTTAAAATTTTTTTAATAAATTTTATTAGAATTTCGTAAAGCTACAGTATTCTTGTTTAAATTATAAAAATTTTTATTATAAAAAATTTGCTTAATTACTATTATCCTTATACAGTATAATTTTATATTACAGTATAGTAAAGTTAATAATATATATAAAGATAATAAATTTAAATTGTTATTAATGTAAAAATTTTGTAAATTATACAGTAAACCTACTATTTAAAGTAAAAACAAACTATAAAATATACTTTTTATTTATTATTTCAAATAACAAATAGCAAATAGTCTTATTTATTTTATATACTGTACAATATTGTTTAAATTTTTGTACTTGTTAATAGATCATGGTGTTGTGCATCTTTTTTTTACTTTTTATTAGTTAATTTAACTCTGTTTTTAAAATTTTTGTATTATCGTTATAAGAATTTATAAATTATACTCATATTTTATACACTAATGTAAATTAAAATATATATATATATTTAAAAATAAAATTTTTTAACTATTATTAAATTTTTATCGTGGTTGTGCTATAGTATTATCTTACAGATATGCCACATTAATTTAATACATATTAACGTTAAAGAAGATATTATATAATGATTATGTTATGGTAAAGAGATATGTATAATATTTAAAATATGAAACATTGGTGTAATATTGAGGTAACCAAGTAGTAATCTTAAAATCGAAAATCACATTGCAAAGGTATAAACCATTTCGCCGACAACTGTTTCGCCGATAAAAGTTAGCTTGTTTTAGATTAAAGTTTTTCCTGATTTATAGTTAGGGTTGAGCTATATTGTAGATTGTCGGCGAAACGGCTGTCGATGAATTTTACCAGAACCTAATTCTGTAATTACTATCATGTGATCGATGATTATCTTGTCTACTACTGTACTATTGCTATGTGTAGTTGTTTAAAATTATCAATAATAGTTGATGCGAGTAAAATAGTTATGCCGTAAAAATTTGGTAATAAGATCAAAGTGTAACAAAGTAAAAAAAAATAAACCTTTGATATGAAACTAACTTTCTATTATTTTTAATTAAAAGTTCTCGGCACATGAATTTTAAATATATAATTTCCAATTATTTTGCGATTAACGCATGACAAAAAAATCACAATTGCAGGGGTGTAAAATATAAACAGGGGTGTAAAAATTTTTTAAAGAAAATGTACGTACTTAAGCATAACTCAAATATGAAATAATAATTATATATCGTTATCGTTATATATTTTTTTATTATATTAAATTTTTTTTTTTATAATTGAATAATAATAATGCTAATCTTAAGATATATATATATATTAAAACATAGTATATAGTAACTAACCTATTTATAAAATGAAACAACCATCTTTTTTATACCAAACATTTTAAAAAAAAAATAAAGAAAAAACACATTACATTAGAATAATAATTCAATTGAGCATAAGAATATTTATTTTCCATACATAAAAGAAAATTTTTTTTTCTTTCTCAATAAAATTAGGCTATCAGTGAACAAGAGGTTTGTTATAGAGAAAGAAAAGGCATACATAATTTTTTTGGTTTAAATACGTAATTTTGAAGATATATAAACATATATATAGAATATATATGTATATATCTTCTTTTGAAAAAAAGTGTTTTTTTTGAATCATGGATAGGGGTAGTGGGAAAATACATATATACGGGGGATGGGAAGGGGAAAAAGTAATATATGAATAATATTTTTTTTCATAACTACAAAGAAAAAAAAAAAATATTTAATATATGATACAAAGAGAAAAATATATATAGATCGTTCATGTATTTGAAAATTCAGCGGCATACTTTTTGAGCGCCAAGGATAAAAGAAGAGGAGGTTGATATTTAATATATAAAAAACCCCCATTTTTATATAGAAAAGGGTCAAATAACTATGTACAAAGAAAAATGAAATACACAAAATGAAAACAATCGACACTGAAATAAAACACAATTTAAGGTGTCTTCATTGATTTGCTTTATATATATATATATATATACGAGACAAAAGTCTCATAAATGGTGAACAAAAATGAATATAATCATATTTTGTCTTAAATTCGGGTAAAAGGGGAGGGAAAGTTCTATCGATCTTTTTTTCACATCACTTTTCACATCAAAAAAGTGCAAATAAACAAAGAGACTTTGGAGACTTTGCATATTCACACATGTCATATCACTTCCAAGGACAGAACAACGATATGTTACTTCAACCATTTGCCGTCACCGAAAATAGCTATTCATCATATTCATCACAGGGGTAATTGTAACAATTCACGGTCGTTGAATAGCTTTATCGCATTGAAGAGCAAGAGTTTTCATATTATCTACAGAATGACATAGATCGTCATAATCCATATGAAACTCTGGTGTATATCTCTTTAGCTCTAATTATATTAAAAAAGAATATTGATTAATATATATGATTAATATATATATGTATATTTTATATATTCGTATATAATAAATACCTTGAAGTAAAAGGCAATATCTCGTAACACGTTGTATTGGCATTATCATATAATCAGAAAGGTTGAGACGATTTGTATCTTGTTTGCTCTGTGACTATATAATCAAATACATAAATTAAATTTAATAAATAAATATATATATATATATATAAATATTTAAAAACACAAGAAAATTTTGTTAAAGACATACCTGTAAAATCTTTCGATATAAAACGTTTTCATTAGCACGTTTAATTGCCGACCTACTTTGTTGATGATTTTCTGCATACAGTAATAATGCTTCGAAATAAGAGCGGTATTTTAAAAATACTTCGCCAACCATGGATTCAGATTCTTGCCATGGATCCATACTACTTTCAAGATCTTCTACAATTAAAGTAGACAATTGTATAAGATCCTCTACATGATCAAAGATTGCTTTAATGTCATCAGGATTAACTAATGGATTAGACTGTTCGGCAGCATCGATGAATGGATCCATAAATATCTAAAAAATTTCCAAATAAAAGTTAAATAAAAAGCAAGTAAATAAATGCGCGTATAATAAAACATAATATAATAATATTTAAATTATATACCTTTTTAAGTTTTTTTAAATGTTCTAAATAACTTTGTTCAGTTGAATAAATTTCACAAGCAATAAATTTTCTCATTTGACTTGATCTAGTCGCAGCATCAGTTTCTTTTTCAGCATCGGCTTGAAGAGCAAATATATCAGCAGGTAAAGTTAAAGTCGGAGGATCTTTTACTACAACAGTATCTTCATCAACACTAACATTTGAATTTCTATTTTTATGAAGATGAATACGAATTTCAGATTCAGCAACAAGTTGTTGATTCGTTTTTAGTGAATTAGTATAAGCATAAGAATTTCTACGTTTTGCATCAAGAGCACGTTTTCTTGAAAATAATAAGCCTCTAAGATGTACTTCTATATGAGTCCAACTACGTCTAATATCACTATTATCATTTAAATCATTATTTGAAGAGCACCTTTTATGTTGAGAAGTAGTAATGGTAGGAGATTCAGTGGTAGGAGAATCACATATCGTAATATCACTTGTACCAGTTACAAAAGCAACATTATCGAAATCAGAAGTTGAAGAGTCTAAGATTCTCTTTAAAGAAGAATCAGGAGAAGAAATAGGCCTAGAATCAACAGAACCACGTTTTTTACGAAAATTAAATTTCTTTGAAAAATCTTTAATAGAATCTTCACCAACTTGATTATTTTCTTTATATAATAATTCATTAAAAGATTTTGACCGAGAACATCTACCAGAAGAATTTTTTGGAGAATCTTTAATTTTTTTTTCATCGATTTCATATTTTAAAAGGCTTAAAGTTCTAATCATAAGTTTGGTGCTGTTGGTAACGTTATCTTGAATTTTTTCGGAATCTTTTTTCTTGCTTATCCTACGTTGTAAACTTTTAATTGTTGATGTTTTACGAGTACAAGGTTGTGTTGATGGTAAAGTCTCACACTGACTATTATCTACACGATTAAAAATATTGATAAAAATATTGATAAAAGTATTGTTAAAAATATTGTTAAAAATATTGTTAAAAATATTGTTAAAAATGTTGTTAAAAATGTTGTTAAAAATGTTGAGAGAAAAAAAAAACATTTAATACATGCGATAAAAAAAAAAAAAAAGTATATATATATAAACATATATAAATAAATATATAAATATATATAAATATTTATATATATATTTATATATATATACTTTTTTGAAAAAAAAGTTGACTGGCAACTGCGGATGAATAGAATAGAATAGAATAGAAGGGATAGCGGTAAATATTTTTAAGTCGATAAAAAAAAAAAGTCGAGGAAAAAAGTAGGTTTACAGGAGGTGAATTATAAGTAGTTGTTAAAATATAAGTGGTTATCAAAGTGTTTTAAAAAGTATAAATGGATGATAATTATTGAAAGTACTATCCGATGAATATTATTGACTACAGTTCGCGCCAAAAGGGCAAATAATTTATTGCGTAATTCATCAAACCACTAGACTATCCGTATTGCTTATGTCAACTTTTTTTGATAAAAGTCTAATAAATTTTATAGGTTAAGATCAATCAAAAAAAAATACTACCTACCATTTAACCTAGATGAATTTGAATCAACGACATTATTTATAAGGCTATCAAGTTGAGGAGTATCAGTTGAAATGGTAGCAAAGCTTTTTTCAGTTATTTCTTCCACCCAACTAATGGAAGAAATAGAGGGTCTAACTTTTGTAACTTTTGTAGAAGTTGATAATATTGACTTTTTTTAAGAATATTAATATAATAATAAAAAATAAAAAAAATAAAAAAAAAAAGATAATAAATACATAAACAACATAAACAACATAAATAACACAATAAATAATCGAAATAAAATCGAAATAATCGACAGGAAAAAGACGCTTACCTTATTTGCAAATTCACTAGATTTTATTGCATGATGTTGAGACGATTGAGGGACATCGGTAGTAGTATCGAGGAGTTCGTTATCATTATTGGTTTTTGATATTATATGGCCATTTTTATTAGTACTAAAATGAAAAAGAATAAGAAATAGAAAAAAGGATATTAAAATTTGTAACAAAAATATAGAATAAAAGGTAAAGATCGGTTTAAAATAATAATAATAATAAAATAAAAAATAAATTTTGTTTAATACATACATTTCAGGATTGTTATTATTATTATCATCATCAAACATCATTTCCATGGTATTAAGGGACCGGAGAGAAGAATTTGAGGTTGACGAAGGAGAAGTATTATCGGTATTATTAGTAGCACAGGAGTTACAAGACGATATACTAGAACTAGAGTTTGACCTCGAACAAACTTTATTGGAAGAAAGATTTTTTCCAGGTTTAGAAAGGTCTAATTTTGAATCATGAAATTGACGTTTTGTTTTTTCATTATCATTTAAATGATGGTTGTTGGTATTAGAAGTATCAAATTTATGATTTGCTTTTGAAGCGGCATCCACAGATTTTTTTGATATGGCAGACACGAAAGGTAGCCATATAGCTCTTTTTATAGAAGGATTAACTGAATTGTTGTTTGTTGGTTTAGTTCCAGATTGTTGGGATCTAGCGGTTGGTAATGTGGTAGTTGGCATTATTACACCTTTTATCACCTTGTAGCACCCACTAATTAAGAAAAAGAAATTTTTTGAGAAGAAAAAAAAAAATGAAAAGATCGAAAGAACGAAAGTCTAATAGTTAGGGTACTACGCGGTTATTTATCAGTTTATTGATAATTACAAAAATGAAATCGGCGTAATTGAAATCGGGCGTAATTGTTTGTTGACAAAAAAATCCAAATAAATTTTTTTCGAGTAATTGATATGTTGGTCGGGTATACAGTACAAGAACAAATAAGATTTCTAAAGAAAATATAATTTTTTTAAATGAATAAAAAAAAAAAAAAAAAGAAAAAAAAAAAGGGTATCTTTTCCTTTTTTTTTTATCTTAAACAATAAGATTTCTAAAGAAAATATAATTTTTTTAAATGAATAAAAAAAAAAAAAAAAAAAGGGTATCTTTTCCTTTTTTTTTTTATCTTAAACAATAAGGTTGAAGAGAGAAGGGAAAAAAAAGTTTATTTCTAGCTTCAAAGCTGGCACAGCTAGATATATGTAGATATTCTATATTAATTAATTTATACTGTATATATTTCTATACTTTTTAAAAAAAAACTGCACCAAGTCCCAGTTGGCACCATGAAAATTTAAAATTAGACAAATATGTTTGGCGACAAAAAAAGATTTAAGAAAAAAAAAAAGTAGAAGAGCAAAAAAGCCAGAATTTTACTGAAAAGCGCAATAATAAAGTATTTATGCTATTCCACCGGTGAAAAAAAAAAACTCACTCGAGAGTGAATACAATATATATAAAAAAAAAAAAAAATTAATTAAAAAATATACTACTGTATAACTGTATAACAGATAACTTTATAACTGTATAACTTCATAATTGTATAACTGTATAACAGATAATGTACCGTACTATATGTCATTATAATGTACTTAGTGTCTATGTACTAATATAATATCATATACTATCATAAACTATCATAAACTATCATAAACTATCATATACTATAATATACTATAAAATAGAGTGCATAAATTTCTTAAAATGAAAAGCACCCTTACTTACAACTGTCGAATAATGCAATAAATGAATCAATCGCAATGATTGTAAAACAGTTCAATCATACGCTACAGGAAAAATGTCAAAAAGATATGTTGATATGTTGTGAAACAATAGCATACAGTATCTGGTATAGCATTATACCCAAGTACAAATTATAATCATAAATGCGCGCACATAACATCAGTAACTATTAATTTATTACTGTTAATATTCACTCATACGGTATAAAAATTTTTGCTTGTTCTGATAACAATGAACCGGAGCCGGAAAATTAAAGAAAATAAGGATTATGCGAACTAGTACTTCCTCAGTACTTGACTAAACCTTTGTTAAAAAGTCTAACCAACTTTTCATACAAAGAGTATTCAATCATACGTAATATAAACACGTGATATTCGAGATTTTAAATAAACCCAAACGGTTAGACAATTTACCCGGAATTTGTTATTCGTTTCAAAAAATTGAAAATAAAGAAATATATAAATTACGTTTTCTTTGAAAACTTTGAAAGCTTTGAAAGGTGAAACATTTTCTCCGTCAAGGAACTAAAATTACTAACTAAAATATTACTAAAATATTACTAAAATTTTCTAAAATTTGGGGAATAACGTACATCTGGTCGTTTACCACCGCATAATCACATGTAAAATAAAAAATAAAAAAAAAACGGACAATTGTTCACCGAGAAAGTAATGAATTTTGAGGGTCTAACACATAAAAACAATGGTTGTACACCATTTAATGGTAATCACCAGACTTTTCCCGGTTAATCGGGCTCAAAGATCGAAGAATTTATATATATATATATATAAACACCATAACACAATAAAAGTAGGATTTTTTTTTTTATTTTTGGAAAGCATTGGATTTATAAAAAAAACAAATGTTATAAAATCAGAAAACTACCAGAACAGTATACTTTGTGATTAGTTAGACCTGAAATTGAAAGCAAATTAAACAGGCATTGAAGATCATTTTTTTTACATAAATATTTACAACCCAAAAAACTTTTTTAAATAAAGCCGCGTATGTCTTTATTTAGATTACCATATAGGACATATTCGCACTTCTTTTTGACGCTTGGGCAAATGTATAAATATGAGAAAAAATGTATTTGATTTTGAGAATAAATTAGATAAATAAATTAAAGAGTAAGCATTGCAGTAAACAGGTATAATTGCAGTATAATTGCAGTATAAGTAAGACAAAATTAATAGAAATAACCATCAAATATGCTGTTCATTTGTTTGTGTAATCACTAACCTTTTTCTCTTTCACTAACCTTTTTAAATAATTGATTAGCGAACCAATAAACACATTTTTGAAGAACGAATATATGCGAAGAATACTTGGTTCTCACGAAACTGACACAACATAGAGTAGAGAAGAATTAAAAAATAATGAGTAAATATTACGTTATTAAAAATATTTAGATTATTTACTGTAGATTATTATTGATTATTTATGATATGATTATTTAGATTATTTATGATATAATTATTGACCGAATTTTTTTAAAAATCACCAGATAATCATATCAATAAAATTCAATAAAATTCTTAACTGAATGGCTGTGATAGTGAACTAGACATTTTTAGGGATTACTTTTTTTTCGATTTATTTCGATTTATAGGTTATTTAATCATTTTATCTGTTAAATTGGTAATCCAAAAAACGCCTCCATACATGTGTTACATGTGCAACCATCTATAGAAATTTTCAATGAGCCTTTTTTTTTTTTTGTTTGCAATAGTCAATCACTTATCAATCGTAGTTTATCTTTTACTATAATGGATGTTATCACCGACATAATTTACTAACGTTTTTACTTTAAGTACTTCTATTACTGTATTATTATCATTGCTATTATTGTTTGCTATGCATTTAATATTTTCATTCTCTCCGGAATTCCGGAATTTAGGTCGGAAACCTGTATTACCTGTCTACTTTCAAGTATATCACCAATGGATATTCATTGACGACTAAATATTGAAATAGTAACCATAAACAATGCTGCGACCTTTTTTGAAAAAGATTAAACATTCCATTAGTAGAATCGTACGTTCAAAAAATCACCAGATAGTACGTGTGTTTAAAAATCCATTAGCGTTAAGATGTTAAGAAAACAAGAATGCTTTGTTTGTTTTTATTTTGTCAACCAACTTTTAACGCCATTTGCTTTAATTTCATCATTTTAAGTGCCTAATACGACTTTTGTATCTAACTACCCGGTTATTACTACGTACCTGGTTCAAAAACAAAAAATAAAGATCGACATGTAAGGTTTTTTTTTTTTTTTTTGTAAGTCTTATTTATGCTTAAAAAACAAAAATACTTCCCTTCTAAAAAAATTTAGTTGTTTGCTTAATTGGGGTTTTTTTATATGTATCATTTTCCTTATGATTAAAGTGATTAAGTTGCTTACAAGTCTTTGTCTCGTTTCTGTTTGAAGTCATTACGAACGAATAGTTTTACGAATAATTTTTACCGATAATTTTACGGTTAGTTTGACCAATACGAAATAGTTTTAAGAAATATATAATTTGATGAAATAGTTTGATGAATAGTTTTTACGAAATAGTCTTACGAATAATTTAATGAATAGCGAATAATTTAATGAATAATTTTTTTACAATTACAGAATTAGACTAGTTTTACAAATAGTTTTACAAATAGTTTTACAATAGTTTTACGTTACAAATAGAGTCTTACAATGGTTTTGCATATGGTTTTACATATGGTTTTACAAATAGACTGTTCAAAATATAACAATGTTAATCGGGAACATCCAATGAAATATCCAATGAACAAAGATTATATTAAATAATAATAAGCATAAAATAAAATATAATAAAAAATAAAAATGGGCGCATTAATGATCCTTTTCCATTTGTGAGTCAATCGAAAACTTTTTGCGAAAAAATCTCGGTGATTAACTCGGTGATTAATAGTGTGGCTGTTCATGTATGGTTTTGATGGTTAGTATCTGATATGTTTAGTGCCTGATATGTTTAGTTTAGTATCCTATATGTTTAGTTTAGTAACTGATATGTACATACGTACGTGCGTACGTAAATAATTTGATATTTCCTTGTTTATTATACGTACATATGTACCCGTATGTTCGTTTGTACCCGTATGTTCGTTTGTACCGTATACGGTTAAATGTTATATGCACGTTAATAAATTATGTACGCCACCGGAAACATGCAATTTATTATCGATCAGTTTATGTACGTACAACTTTTCATGAAACATTCATGATTCGGACTTACGTACAATCTTCTCCTTGTAATAATTCGTTTGAGCCTTTTCAAATTCTAATTTTTCAATTAACTGTACTGTGACTGGTACTGTTAATGTGTTTAAATTTGATTTAAGGAAACCGTCCCCATTTTTTGTTTTCCCAAATTATCAACTTTATTGTAACTTTATTGTCTTGGTCACCTCCGTAACGAGTATTTACCAGTTGTAACCATTAAGATTTTACCACCGACAGGGTCAATAATAACTGAACCCGATTATCGAACTTTTTCATAATTGTAATAATAAAAACTTGTATAAATCTTGTTAAATAAATCTTGTTAAGAAAAGATTAATTTATTATTATGTTTTTTCTAGGGTTAAATCTTTTCATATCCTAGGATATATATACCCTATAGTATAAATATAGTATAAATATAGTATAAATATAGTATAAATATAGTATAAATATAGTATAAATATAGTATAAATCATCAAATCATAATCTAATCTTTCAATTTTTCACATTTTATACGTATTCCACACATACATAATCGCGTCAAATGCTTAATTATGATGAAAAAAAATATTGATCATTATTGATCATTATTGATCATTATTGATCATGGGATAATACCCATCCAAAATTGGATAGTTACTATGCTGAACACAGGAACATCACCTTATTCATTACTTTAAAAGTTATCCAACCGGAATT